AGAAATCTTTCCTATTGCCCGCTTTATCCATTTTTTTCTCTCCTCAGGATTTAGTGCATTAGTGGAATGAGATGTTGAGTGCACCTGTTAGATTAAAGGATTGAAGGTATCTCCCTTTATTATTTGTTGACTTTTACCGTTAAATTTAATCGCCTTGTCTTCCTGTGAAATAAATTGAATCGGAGCGTGGGAGCAGTTTTTACTGAAAGTGAAAGAGCCTTTTATCCTGATTCTGCTTTTACATCCCAAGGAAGAATAAATATGAAATATTTACAGTGCACCCTGCACACACTCAGCAGTTGGTGCTGCCTGTTGTTGTTTATTTGTGTGCGTACAAGGGAAAGGAAGGAGAAGCAGCGCTATTCTTTCTTATTGTGTGGCTTTGATGATTGCTTCCAAGATTTGGATTAATAATATTCCAACTCTAATCTCAGAGGAATGTGTGTATCAGCATCAAATTATTTACTTAAAATCATGTCATTGGCAGTAATTTGCACCTCAACACATGCCCATAAGTCTAAACTGGTTACTTTCTTATCATTATTTTATCTCACAGGCCAAGATGAAGCACAGCCAATTAAATGTTCATTACATTTACTGCCAGGCGCTGCTCATTAGGAATAATGAGAAAGATACACACAGTATTATTTTAGCTGTGGCAGTTCACAGTTTTAGTGATTTGAAAAAAAAAAAAAAAAAAAAAAAAAAGGATGTTTTTTCACTTTTCCTCCCTGAAGCAGGGCTGGTTAAGGGGATGGAGTCATCAAACTCCTAGAGATCCATCCTCTGTCTCTGTGCAGGGGATGCTGTTGCTACAGCAGCCAGCTGAAATCAAAGTTGTTTCCATCGGCCATTCCTGCGGGAGGTTTAGCGCCTCATTTCTCTGATGTTTTTCCTGTTATCTTTATGATCACCAGAGACACCAACGCTCTTTAATGCACTGTGATCAAAATCCTGTTTATGCGCTAGCCCAAGTATTGACAGTGATTTCCCATATCTGTAAACATCTGAATGCAAATGCGGACGCTAAGGAGAAAGAAAATGATAACTGTCAAGATTGTTTGAGCTGTTTGTGAACCAAGGTGAAGGAAAGCGGGTGACATTGAGGATTTCACCTGCTAGGGAAAGTCAAGTATTAAAGGGACAGATCTGTTTTTTTGAGGTTCTATAAAACCTCATAGGCAGTCAGTGCCATACCTCCAGTGGATAACAACCAACGTCCACATTAGTTGGACCCTTGAGTCTGAAGCTAGCCCCCAATTAGAAAGAGACGAAGATCAAACAGTGAAGCAGCCCCCAATCTTGAAAACAACATGACACTATATACAAAAGCTATTCAAAGAGCCTTAAACCATTGTCACATTTGCATCTTATTTACAAAGACACCAATGCTTACCTACAGGGATAATGGAGGCAGAAAAGAACACGTAATGAGTTTCGTTTCAAGCATTTTCTGTGGTCTGTATGATTTAAACTTTATTCTTTACACATTCCAGTAAAATTTAAGTTTAAATAAGATTATAGCAATGTTGTTTTTTTTGAAGATTAAAAACATTACTTTTTGTTTTGAATACATTTTATGTAGGGCTGAAACAATTAATTGGATTAATCCTGATTAATCGATTATTGAAATAATTGTCTAATTTAGCAATCAATTAATCGTTAACTGGAGTATAGACACTCTAAAGCATGCCTATAGCTGACAGAGCAATCCATCTTGAGCAGTAAAAAGTATATATAAACATTTTACATTTAAGATAGTCCAATTGCTATCCGATTTTTAATCGATTAATCAAAAAATAATGTACAGATTAAAGCTACAGTGTGTACCTTTTAGCAACATCTAGCGGTCAGACTGCAGCAACATGAACATCTCCCCCCCACTGCTTCTCCGCCCCAACAGTACGGCGAGCGTTACGGGACAAAATGTCTTCCACGACGTCCGCATCACCTACCTTCTCAAGTGATGAGGTTTGTTTACATAGATAATTTTACAGATAGTATTTCATTAGTCTGTGTAGGGTATAGATTTCATGTAGACTTAAGATAATAATTATACCCGTTATTTTTTCTACATCGTTGTGACATTTTGGCGATCTCGCAATCGCTAGTTTGTTGGCTCTGCGCTGCCGTAGCGCAAAGATGTCTGCCTCCATGGCTGCGAGACCCGCTCCTATGTAGTTATAAATAACGAATTCTAAGGCAACGCAAATATTAAGGTTAAGAGGCTGAGCTCGTAGATGATGATAAAATAACATAGTTATGTATAATATATTACATTTCTGACTGTATATCCCTGTAATTAATACACACTGTAGCTTTAAACAATTTGCAAAATAACCATTATTTGCAGCCCTAATTTGATCATGATTTGATTAGATTTTTTTGAATTTAGTGAATCACTAAGTGTGATTTGGAAAATGTAATAATATGGAACATTCTAATTTCTAGTTTTTTAGCAAGTCAAGTATTGTGGTATTTATCATTGGCAAACTCCAAATAATAAATCTTTAAAATCTGATGATTCTGGACAGAATCATTAGAAAACTGTGAACTAACATGCATTTGTTTTAAGAGACGGATAACAATCAGCTAATTCTTTCTATCTTGTTTGTAACACTGTTTCTTTTTTCCTAAGAATTAACTGTAACATTACTACAAAGTACAAGATTTTGTACAACACCCCACTTTCAAAATGAGTCTTATCGGCCTACCTTGAGTTCCTCACCCACGTTCTCTCCATTCATCTCCGGGTCACAATCTTTACTCACTGCAGCAGCAACGTCCACCTCTCCCTAATCGGTTCTTTGAAAGAACGTGTTTATTTTGGGACGTTTTTTCCATCCTTTCAGCAGCTCTTATTTGCTTTTACTTTTCTGGAATCCGCATTAGTACCTCAGTCTGGTATCCACCGTCGCTAACACATTGTACGTAACGGTTATGGTTTTACTCTAAGCTCTGGATTACCCATAATTCCAAGTCGTAATGTTAAAGTTAAAATACTCAAATACATCGTTCTTTTAAGATCTTTATTGCAGTTTGAAATATATTATGTGAATGTATTTTTTACCTACCGTCTGATGAACTATACACAGTTTTTAAAATAGTAATTAAAAGCACCACTGACTGCTTTGCTATTGGTGTTGTGTTTAAACGGCTTACCATCATGTTGAAATCTGCCATGTGTTGATGTATAAATAAGGTTTGGTCAGTCTATTTGGTGTCAGGTGGGTTTAAGAGGAATTTTTTGCACCATTACATCTGCAAAGAGACGTCCTAGTCCACAGTTGCATAGGGGGCCAACCAGGTGTCCCTGAGAGGTCGGGGGCCCCTAAGCAATTGCAGTCTCTGCTTACTGATAGTTATGCTATTGTTTCTGACCTGTTTCATACATGAAGATAACTTGCATACCCTATTCTAGTGGGACCTCTTAGCAGAATAAAAATGTATTCTTTAAAAATCTTTGCTAATGGTTGTTGTGTCTTTAATATAAAAAATCTAATCACCAAAAAACTTGGATCACTATAGATACGTTTAATAAATAAAACACAAAACGTGACAAAAGGCAGCTGGTATAGGAAACAGCACCTGCTTCATTCCAAGAGTGCAAAGGTGCCAGTTTCCAAATATGGTGTGGGCCTGCCATGTGGTCAGTCTCTGCCCCTTTCTGTTTTGCAGCAAGGTGCACTTAGATATAATTTTTATATTTCCAATGAGGCAATATGAATTTTTTTTAGTTCAGATTTGCTTTAAGACGTGAGAAATCCCCTTTATCGTTGCTATTCTGAAACTACTAAGGCTCTCTGAGACCAGCTAATGTGAATTTATAATAAGATACAAAATAAAATAATAAGATACAAAATAAAATATAATGTAGGTTATTTTCAGGTATTAACGTGTAACCAAAAATCTGAACTGCCTTAAGGATAGGAAACAGAGAGACATGTCATATTTGACTGCCTTTTAATTGACTTATGGTAGATGGATTTATTTTTGCATGGCCAACCAAGATTCAGATTCAGGAGGTCATGCAGCAAACATTTGAGATGAAAGCTGTGTAAGTATATATCCACACCCAGTGAATCATAATCCAACAATAATCCCAATTTATTTCCATTAGTTTCAGAGGAGATGTGTTAATCTCTAGGTAACTCTCCTTGTTTCTGGTTTCAAGGTCTTTAAAAAACTGGAAACATTACCTCGCGGACAGAAAAACACCCCAAACATATTTTCAGACACCAAACTGCCTTTTTTTCTAACCCTATAATAAGAACAAATTACACATGCAGCATGCAGTCTCACAGGATCAATTAAAACCAAATTAACATTGGTCATATGCAACCTAATCCAGCTGCAATATACTGTCCAAATCCTGCTGGGGATCATTAGTAATCATTTCACTGAGCTGGAGGCAGAGCGGCATCCATACATCCACAGACACAGCAATTTATCACCAGGCATGCCCTGCAGGCGTTAATCAATCCCACCAACCCAGATCAGTCTGTTCAATAGGTGCATGTGCACATCAATCAACCAATGCTCTATGTCTTAATTGCTTAAATCTCTTGTTAAAATCCCTTGAGCCACATGTGAGGTGAGATGCTTAAGGATGAAGGACAGTATGATGGTTTGGGCCCATAATGTCCTGCAGAAACAGCTCAGATGTGATAATTAGGAATAAAAAAACATTGCTAGAAGATAGAGAATAAAACAGAGAGATAGGCAGTTTGGTTTGTGTTTATTATGAACAGGTGATTTCTCATGTGAGTTTTCTGATTCAATTCAACTTATCCAGGTTTTCCTGGGGTGAGTTATGAAAAAAAAATAATTCCAATAGCTGAATCAAAGTCTGTTATGTATTTATGCGGGTTGCATGCGCGTGGTTGGCAGTAAAACCGCAGAAAGATGCAAGTTTGTGTGAAAGATGGAGTAAACATGGCAGCATTTGTTCATCTGCGCGCATCCATCCACCGCATTCTCTCTCTCAGTCACACACTTACGTCTCTGAAGCGATTCCAGTGCTTGATCTTGCGGCTGTACTGTGAAATGGTGGACAGCCACTGCTCGTCCTCCATGAAATTCCCGGATTTTTCCGCCTCTCTGACACTCTTCACGTCCGCCTGGATGGTTGAGCCCGCAAACATCAGCAGCGGGATGAGAACGCACACTATGTCCGACATTTCCAGCATGGTTGACCGGAGAGGTGGGGGGAAAAAACGCGCACAGAAAGACTCCCCGGCGCACTTGAAAACGCCGTCTGTCGGCTTTCCTCTTGTGAGGCGGTGGAGGATGAGACTGGGTGGAAAGTGCCACCTGATCCGCCTGTAAGATGCTCCTTCAGATGGGAGGGAGGCAGACTGAGTGAGGGAGGGAGCTGTTTGATGGTGCCACGTAAAGTCAGTCCCCCCTCAGGCTGCTGTGAGACATGTTTGCAAACTGTTAAACAATTTTAAAAACACGTTTTTATTTCTATATTTCCTTACAAGTAAACATATCAAAAGTAGAAGTATTTTTATGCAGCTCCCTTTGCCTTTTTAAACCTCCCTTCACTGCAGTTATAAATGCAAGAAATTGGATATTTTCAAATCAAATAAATTTATTTATATAGTATATTTAAGAACAAACTCAGTTGGTGGAAGTGCATAAAAACAGAGAAAATACAGGCACAATAATTGAAGGTTAATATCCAATTAGTGACTACTAATATGTTATAAGGAGTTACTTTGAAAAATACAAAGAATTGAAGCCTGTTTAAAAAAAAATGTGAGCTGGTCCCAAAATTGTTAGGAATCCAATTTGTGTGGGTTGTTTGTGTGTTTTTCTCTTTCCACCACCAGGTGGTGCCCTGTCCTCTGGGCCTCCCTGCACACCCGCGGCTCATTGGACCATTACTGGAGGAGTATTTGAGCAGTGGGCTGTCATTACCTCGATGCCAGAGTGTTTGCCAGTTTTGGGTACTCTAGCCAAGCTGAGATTAGCTGAGTCTAACCTAAGCTTTGTTTCTCTGAGTCTTATCTAGTTTTTGTCTTTGCTCTTCGGTAGGAAGCCTTCCTGAGTAGCTGGATACCTGAACCTTCTCCCCCTGGAAGGATTAACTGAGTACACACTGAGCAGGGGAAAACCTCCACATGATCCGTTCAAGTCCTCTTCGGAAATCCAAGTGACAGTCCACTCCTTTACTCCTCTGGGTCCAATGCTTGTCTACCTGTCCGCCCTCCAACGAGTTCCCTCTTCTCTAAATTAATCTCACAAGCTGGATTCAAGGATTGACAAAAGCCCCTTCAAACGTGAGTCCCTCTCCAGTAATATTCAAGCCTCAGTCAAATTTCCTACGGTCCCTGAACTGATCGCTGTTATCTCCCCTTCAGACTTTCCAGTTCCGGTTCACCAGTCCACTGAGTTCCAGATCCAACGTCTGATATTCATCTACATTTAATAAACCTGTTAAACTTTTTTCCTTGTTTCTCTGCATGTGGGTGAGATCGCTTAAACCAATCATGACAAAAATTTGGGTATTAGATCCTCTCTAAGAACCAACCTGGACCTTTGGACAACTAAGCACAGATGAACAAATGGGTATATAAGGCTGCAAGAAATTAGACAGATATACAGGTGCCTGGCCATGCTGAGCCTGCTAGTAATAAGTAATAATACTTTAATTAACACTGTGATGTGTTCTAATGCAAAAAATAAAGGGAAGCAGTACTAGGGAGTAGTGTTCACACTTTTTTGTTTGTGTTAGGAGACAACAGTTGTGAGAGGCTGTCTGGTTAACACCGAAATACAAAGAATGACAACAATCAAGTTTGGAGCGAAAAAAAAAAGTGTGAATCACTCGTTCAAAATTGTTAAAAGATAAAAACGGTTTTACTTTGGTTTACAGTCTTAATTGATAAAGGGTGTTTTTTTTGTTTTTGTTTTTACAACAGATCTGAACTGTTTCTCAGGATTGAGGCTGAAATCTAGAATCACTCTAATATTTCTGATTTTACAAAAATGCTCGAGACTATCAATGATTTCCACTGCAACCAAAATAATAAGCACAGTTTTATTTGTGCTGAAGTTTACAGAATTTGAAGCAGAGAATGTTTTTAAGCTTAAATTCCACTACTTATGATTTATAGAGAAAAAAGAGAATCCATTTACAACAGCAAAACACGGAGGTTCAAACTTTGTGTTTGGCTGATTTATCCCCTTTGTTCTGAAGATCTTAAGGACTCAAGGGTGTTTTTCACAACACTAGGTTTGATCTGAAGGTCACAAATGTCTTTTAGGTCACTAAGAGTGTTTTGCATTTTATGGTATTACTTATTTATTTAAATTTTATTTATTGGGTATTTATTACACAATCAACATTTATTTTGCCTGGTGTAAAGACCTTTTCTATACTTTGGATCTTTGTTCCCTTATGCTCTGTCCTATTTTTGACCAAGGTCTTCTATTTGACTTTTGTTCATTTCTAGCATTTTCTACATTTGGCATATTAAAGGTTTAACCACAGAAATGGAAATGTTTGTGTTTCTGTGATATTTTTGCCAAAAATTACTAGTCCAAAGATTCAAATCAAATAGTTTTGTTAATTAAGTTATCTGTTCAGTAAACAAACACATCACATTACCTACATTTATGAGGTTTTATTATGCCTGAAATATTTGTAGGTCAAAGTTTGTTGGCAAATAACAGAAACAGAGCAACTTTAATCTGAAAGCTGTTAGGCATTACCATTTAAAAACTGCAATTATTACAAGAAAGTATAAAAGGAAAGAAAATGTCTAGTGACTCGAGACTTCTGCACAATAACGTGCATCTGGGGAAATTGTAGAAATTGGCTTGACTTTTAGAAACATGTTGGTCCTAAGGAGGACTAGAGGACTTTAGGAAAAAGTGATGATCTCTCTGCTTCAATGCATCATAAGAAAGTCTATCAGCCAGGATAAAGCAGAGGAGAAGCCAGTTTATTGCAACAGGAGAAATTAAGAGAAGAATACTTTTAAAGAAGGTTCCTGAGGAGGCTTGTCAAGTTAAATAATAAACGTTTGAGTATCTTGTCACCAGCATGCCTAATTTATATTTCATATACTTTCCACTAACCCTTAATGTTTTCCTTCTTGCATACAAAGAATCGTTCAATTTGCATCCAGTGATGTTTTTGACAGAATGACACTAACCCAACAATAAGACTCATAATTATATTTGCTGATGATTAACTCAGCACAAGGGACTATACATAAAACTTCCTTTCACTAACTGGATGGACCTATCACTGAGATACAATAGACTTATGAGCTTTTTTCTGCACTCTAAGAATGGATTGGTTGGGGGGAAAAAACAATCTAGTTTGTTAAATCAATTTCGGTTAGTCTGAGCAATATATTGTTTAGAAACTGACCAATCCATTAACTGGTTAACCATATAAACAAAGAAAAGATAACTGAGTGTTTACTAATCTGACTTTTTTGGTTGCAGTCAAGTGTAGTGTGCAATAGTTAGAATAAGAATTAAAGAACATTTACAATGAGGTGTAAATGTGTAGCATACAATTCTTGGCATTTACCTTGGCTGTAATATTAGTATAAAGTAGTATTAAATACCACATGTTAGTGGTGACAGTGGTGTTGGGTGCAGGAGTTTACTTTGCAACCAAGGGATGGTGGTTTATAAGCCCTGGTTCAGGCTTTTAGTGTTGTTACTAAGGCTGAAATAATTAATCAGATAGATTGTGATTAATCAACTATTAACTATTAATTTAGAAATCGATTAATTATTAATTTGAGTAAAGAGACTCTAGAATATGCATTTAGCAGACAGAGCAACCTACTTAGAGGAGTAATTAAACCAAAACTATAAAACAATATATGTCCTTCCATCCATCCATCCATTTTCTGACACGCTTAATCCCAAGTGGGGTCACGAGGGGTGCTGATGCCTATCTCCTACTGTCTATGGGCTAAAACAATATATATATATATATATATATATATATATATATATATATATATATATATATATATATATATATATATATATATATATATATATATATATATATATATATATATATATATATATATATATATGAATATTTGCATTTAAGATTAAAAAAATGTTTTTGTCCTTCAATATGCCTTATCCAGAAATCAATTTGCCAAATAGTCATTAGTTGCAACCCTAGTTGTTACAGTAATTAACCATTATGCTGGTCAAAGTGATCAATTTTTATTTGTTTGCCCTTTTACCAAATTCCATTTGTAGTTTTCACCAGAAGATTGGTTGGATACGTACGGAAGAGGATTAGGGCCACTGAAAAGAAAAAAAAAAAGTAAACTGATTTTTAAATTTTATTTCAGTTTAACATGGGAAAAAAGTCAGAATTCTGAGATTAAAGTCAGAATTCTGACTTTTTTCTCAGAATTCTGACTTTAATCTCAGAATTCTGACTTTTTTCTCAGAATTCTGACTTTTTTCTCAGAATTCTGAGATTAAAGTCAGAATTCTGACTTTGATCTCAGAATTCTGACTTTGATCTCAGAATTCTGACTTTGATCTCACAATTCTGACTTTTTTTCTCAGAATTCTGACTTTTTTTATTGTCAGAATTCAGTCAGAATTCTGACTTTGATCTCAGAATTCTGAGAAAAAAATCAGAATTCTGAGAAAAATGTCAGAATTCTGAGATTAAAGTCAGAATTCTGAGAAAAAAGTCAGAATTCTGAGAAAAAAGTCAGAATTCTGAGAAAAAAGTCAGAATTCTGAGAAAAAAAGTCAGAATTCTGAGATTAAAGTCAGAATTCTGAGAAAAAAGTCAGAATTCTGAGAAAAAAGTCAGAATTATGAGAAAAAAGTCAGAATTCTGAGAAAAAAGTCAGAATTCTGAGATTAAAGTCAGAATTCTGACTTTTTTACCATACTAAACTGAATTTTTTTTTTTTAAATCAGTTAACTTTTTTTTTTTTTATCAGTGGCCCTAATCCTCTTCCGTAGATACGTAACCACCAACCACATTGCTAAAGTTCGACCGCTTCTTTAGGTGAATTGACCAATCTATTCTTAAGGTGGTGATTTATTTAATCACTTAAGTGATGCAAATAGAAAAGATTAAACAAATTAATGTATTTGTTGAAGTGTAACAATGTAAATATATTCATGAACTAATATAAAAGACAGTGAATGAAAAATGCTTTCCCATGTTAATCAATGTAAAAACATTTACATCTGATAGAAAGATAATATATTAATAGTCAAAGACAATCACAGGAAAGGTAAAATCTGAATCATAGAGCTTTGCTAAAACCATTTCTACTCCAAAAACATGTAAAAACAACAAAAGTGAGTTTATATATAAGGGAAACTGGGGTCAAACAGTTCTTT